TTTACAGGGTCACCTGTCCGACGGCCCCGGCAAGAAGGCAGGGAACGCCAGTTTTTTGTGCCACTCCTCCCGATCCAGTTTTTATGATCCCCTTTCCCCCACCTTTCCCCTCCTGCTGTTTTACGGGAGGCCCGGTCCGGGGTGGCCCTCTGACTGTCTTTACAGGGTCACCTGTCCGACGGCCTTGGCAGGAAGGGCCGATCCAGTTTTTATGATCCACGTTCCCCCACCTTTCCCACCTCCTGCTGTTTTACGGGAGGCCCGTTCCGGGGTGGCCCTCTGACTATCTTTACAGGGTCGCCTGTCCGACGGCCCCGGCAGGAAGGCAGGGAGTGCTGTCAGACTAGTTCAAACTTTCGAGTTGGCCCTGGTCTCAACCCGAGACTACGAAGGAAACGTAAGTGCTCATCTTAGCGAACGTTCACTTCATTCGAGGCCCCGGCTTCCGGAGCTATTCCTTTGTTCTCTTTGCTTGAATGACGACATTCGTCTCGTGGATGGCTCCTGCTCCTGGTATTGTTTCTGCTCCTGCTCCTGCTCCTGCTCCTGCTCCTGCTCCTGCTCCTGCTCCTGCTCCTGCTGCTGCTGCTGCTGCTGCTTCTGCTCCTGCTCATGTTGCTGCTGCTACTGCTGCTGCTGCCGCTGTTATTTTCATCGTCGTTCAAGCCGAGCACGAGAGGAGAGGCCCTAAACCCCCCTGTAAACCTTATAAACCCCATAAACCCTACCTAAACCCTAAACCCAACCCCTAGACCCTAAACCCTAAACCTTAAACCTTAAACCCAACCCTCAAACTCCAAACCGTAGATTTGTGTCAGGGCGGTTTGCACGGTTTTTTGCGGCTGTGCCTGCAAGGCTGCCGGTATGATGGTTTCAGAGCTCCAGCAATCCGAAGCTCCACAGAGCTCCAGGCTAAAATCTCTAGCACCACAGCCCCGCTCAAAAACCAAAACGCCCTTTAAAACAAGGGCCGCAATAATGGCCTATGCCATATTGGGGGCTCCTAATTGTAATAATAGTAGAATAGACTTAAGACCCTATTCTAAATGATTACGGCCCCTACATTCTGCATAAACCTCAGGGCACGTCATAACCACACGTTTAGAACCCGAAGACCTGAAGACAGCCCTCGAGCCTAGCCCGAGCTCAAGCCGAAGGCACGCGGAAGACACATGTTGCGGCCGCAATGGCCCTGGCCGTCTGAGCGAACTTCACGAGGGACTCTCCGTGGCTCCTGTCCCTTTTTTTGGGGCTTGACTTTCGCCTGATATGTTTTAATCCTAAACCCTAGACCCTATAAACCCTAAGCCAAGGATATCAAGTCAACCCGTGAACCTTTACCCTTGGCCCTACGTCTCGGACGCCGCATTGTCTAGGTCTTGGACTTTTTTTGTGTCGATGTGTCTTCCTTTCCTGCTGCCTCAGCAGCCTTCCGTGGTTTTGGGACCACGGTCTGGTATTCGGAGATAAAGGCCCCATAACTAAGACAAATCTCCATGCCAGCGGATCACCCTGATCCATGAATGATATACCCTGAACCCTGCCCTGCCAGGTAAGCTCAAGCCCTGAGCGCAGGCACAGGGGTGCTCCACTGATGGTGACACCGACTTGACGTTCTTTGTCTTCGCCCGGGCTGCGCCGCCTTTGCAAGTCTTTCGGCCGCAAAGTGCGAACACTCGATTCTCGGTGGCCTCTCGTCATCGTGGCCCACGTAGCAGACTTTCCTTAAGTTGCCGTAAGACCAACATCAATCAATGAGGCTTTCTGCCAAGCCGGCCTTAGCTCAGCCGCTGGGATCAGCGGCTCGGCCGCTTAGATTACCAATTAGCGGAGCAAGTCCAAGGCACCACCCTCGGAGTTCAAGAGTGGTAAGAGTTCTGAGTTCCAAATCAGATTCGCCCTCATCGGGTTCAAGGGTGGTAGGACTTCTGAATTCAAAATCAGGGGCGCCCCATCAGTCCACGGCTCCAGCCTCGGAGTTCAAAGGTGGTAAGAGTTCTGATTGTAAAATCAGTTGATCATCTGTCCAAGGCTCCATCCTCGGAGTTCAAGAGTGATAAGAGGTCTGGTTTTAAAAATCAGGGGCGCCCCGTCAATCCAAGACTCCATCCTCGGAGTTCAACGGTGTATGAGTTCTGATTTCCAAAGCCATCAGTCCAAGGTTCCATCCTCGGAGTTCAAGGGTTATAAGAGTTCTGATGTTAAAACCAGGGGCATCCCATCAGTCCAAGGCTCCATCTTCGGAGTTGAAGTGTGGTAAAAGTTCTGATTTAGAAATCAGGGGCGCCCCATCAGTCCAAGGCTCCATCCTCGGAGTTCACGGCTGGTAAGAGTTCTGATTTAAAAATCAAAGGCGCCCCATCGGTGGTAAGAGTTCTGATTTCAACATCAGGGATATAGTAGTAGTACTGTCACTACAGAGGGGGGGGTGAAGGGGTTTAGTGGGTTTTGGTCGCCTGTTCATGTCCCGTCCTATCTCCCTAAAGTCTCCCTCACTCATGCCTGCACAAGGACAATCAGAGATGCGTGTGTGCTGGGGGTTCGTTAAGATTTATAGTTTTGAAGAGTTTAGACTGGAGCCAAGAAAATTCCACTTCCGCTACGAAGTCGTAAGCTCTCATGATTGAATTCAGCTCAGACTGTACACATGTCCTGGGTCACATTCTTTATTTCAGTTTGGGCCAGGGGTTCTGCCTCCTCATAGCAGGGGCTGCTTAGGTTGGGAGTCCTTGTCCGTGTCCAACTCCGCAGTTCCTGAAAGACGTGCTTTTACTGACTGCTTACAATTTTCTGCTACACAGTCGAGATGTGCAACTCAGCTCTGCCCTGTGGCATCTTCTGCTGCCAGCCTGCTTTGATCATCCGGCCATGCTGACCGTTCATGTATGTTTCCTGCGTTGCATCCCTCGGCCGCAGGACCGTAAGACCTGTAGAACTCCGCATCCGCAGCCGCTCTTGCCCGCAGCTCATGGCGAAGAAAGCTCGGGGAAGGCCTCGCAAGAAGCGAAGCGAAGCGAGACAGAAGCGGGAGCGCTACAAGGCCTGCGCGTCTGTCCGCGGAACTCAGTTTTAATTTCCAGCACTCCTCGCGATGCAGGCTGCGCAAGCAGCCCTCCTCCGCAAGCTTTCGGTACCCCAGTGCCTGCCTCGGCTGAACCAACACAACTGCATGACGTGTCGCCCTTCATCTTGACAGGCTCAGGCGCCTCGCGGTGGCTCACCAGTTGAGCCCCGCTGGGCTTCTGAAGTCCGGGCTGATCGATCTCCTTTCTGTGCAGGAAGGCTTGGTCATCCCGGACCTCAAGGCCCGATCGTCTCCGCTTCAAAAGCTGTAGACAGGCGATTTTGCTAACTTTGCTACAACTGCATGCACGCTCTGCTTGTGTACATCTGGATGCCTCCGGCCACAGACCGTGCGTACACACACACGTTTCCTCTATTACTTTATGTCTAGCCTCCCGAAGGACTTTGCCGTGGACCGTCCCGAAGCCAAAGCGAAGGCCAAGGCGGATTCCGCTTTCTTTGGCGTTTCATCTCAGCGCGGCACGACACTCGACAACTGTTTTTGCAAGGCCACGAGCCATGTAGCGGAGTCCAAGGCCGGGTTTCTGTTTCCTCCGACCTACACGCACACGCACACACACACACACACACAGACACACGGACGCACCAGCGGGGCAAAGTATACTGCATCCGACTCTTCTCTGCCAGGCTCGCGGCACCACCTCGTCATCGCCCTCTTCTTCCTCGGCCTCCTCCTCCTCGTCCTCTTCCGCGTCGGAGTGAGTTGAGTAGCACAATGCGCAGGGCAACTGCCGACAAAGACTCGCACAGACACGATGGTAGTCTATTCGCTCATGCCTTTTGCACAGGCACGGATGCTGTCTTGTATCCTAAAGCCTAGAGCATACCCGAATCCTGCTTTCGGGCGACGTTCGTACGTTCCTTTTCGCAGGTTTTTTTATGTTACTTCTTGACCGCTGTGTAGCGGTGTCAACTCCAACTCTAGACACGCGTTCCATATGTCGGTCTGGTCAGCTGCTGCTGTTGCGAGATTACTCAATGCTAAGCATGTTAAATCATGCTGACGTGTCCCGTTGTGCCATTGCATGCAGCTATCCACGCGCGGAGAATCATGCGGCGTATGGTTTTTTTATCCCGCGTAGCTTGAAATCCTCCGTGGCCTTCAAATGGGTAGTTCTCCAAGCTAGAGTCTTTTTGGGGGCCCTTTTTAAAAGGGCGACGTACTATATCGGGGACCGAAAAGGGACCCTAAATTAGAGAACTACACAAATGCCTCAAACCATGAACCGTAGCTGAGGGCTACTGTTAGATTATGTAAGGTTTAAGTTCGTCTGCAGGGAACTCATGCCTTGCGCGGAAAGCGAGCTATGGGACAATGCAATATAGGCTTCGGGCAAAGTATCCTTAGCAAACATGGTGTAAACTAACCAATCCTATGCCGTAGCTGAGGGCTCCTGACTATGACTATCGTTGTGTGAAAGCTGCAGAGGCGCGTGTATTGCAGCGAAAGAGAGGCCCCGGCGTCCGAAGCACCAAAATCGTAAAGACCTAAAGACCGTCGATCCGGGAGCCCAAAAACTCCAAAGACCCTAGCCAGCCACCTATGCGAAAACCATGAACCCTAAAAACCCAACGCCCCAAACTCAAAAGAGTATGCCTAATTTCAGATCCCTGTCTGGACCTCTTCGCGGAACCCCCAGTTCAAGGGCGACGCACTTCTAAAACCCTACATATGATGAACCCTTCAATTAAAGCGAATCTTTTAAAGGAGCTCTTACCCTAAACCCTCAACCCTAAACCGAGGCGATCGCACGGATTCGGTCCATGGAGCCCGGCGAAGGCGCCGAGATCTACATCGGAAACCTCGAGCTTGGGATGCACCAGAGCCCAATAGGTACCTTTAGCGTACTGAGGGGATTGAAGGGTCTAGGGGTTTGGGGGGTTAGCCGCAATTCTCCGAAGAGTCCTCGGCACTCTTATGGGGGGCTGCTTTCCCAAAGACACATCAGTAACTCGGATTACAGGAACCCTACATGCCTAAACCCCGACACCCTGGACCCCGAAACCAAAACCCCTAAACCGCAAAACCCCCTGGTTCATAACTTGTAATGGTGTGGGGTTTAGGGTGTAGTTTAGGGTTCATTATGGTTCAGGGCCTAAGGTTTATAAGGCTCTGGGCTTGGGGGTAGGGCTTATCGGATAGCGGTTGGTGATCAGGGTCTAGGGTTTCGGCTCCAGGGCCTAGCTGTTGAAGGTTGGGGCTTAGGGCTTATAAGGTGTACAGCTCATGTTTGTGGTTTCATTACTGTAGAATGTTATGAGGTTTAAAACATACACCTTAAACCCTAAACCCGAAACGCTACCCTTTAAGAAAAGGTTCGTACAAGGGCATCAGGGCTATTAGGGCTTCGGGTTATTTGGTTTAGGCGTCAGCGTTTTGGAAGGTTTTGCTTTTGTTGAGTGTGTAGGACTTCCGGGCAGTTGGGTCAAACCTTAAGCCCTAAACGCCAAAACCCGGAAGCCTAAACTTTAAGGCCTAAACCCTAAAACTGAAACCATAAACGCTAAACCCCAAACCCTAAACCCCTAAAGCCTAGGAGCAGCCCAGGAGCAGGATCAGCAGATTGCCCACGGGAAGTGAGGGGCTGCACAGGACATCCGCTTGCGGCTACCAGGCCAGTGGTTGGGGTGTGGAATTTAGGATGTAGGGTTTGGGGTTTAGGAGTCAGGGTTTACGGTTTAGGGTTCGGGGTTTAGGGTTTGGGGTTTAGGGCTTGGGGGTTTGGGGTTTAGGGCTTAGTTTGCGGTTTAGGGTTTGAAGGTGGGGGGTATAGTAATTTAGAAGTTACAGTTTTGGGTTTGGTTTTTTTGGTTTAGGTTCCCTGTTAGATTTTGCCTTTTAGGGCTTCTTTACAACCTATAAAAGCCTCTCAGTGAGTGCAAGGCCGGATAGAAGGTGTAGTGCCCATTCTCTAACCCTCGCAGCGTTGGGCCCCCAAAACTCTAGAACCCTCACAAGTATGGATGCGAAAAGCGTATGATGCTAAGAAGAACAAATGACTGCGCATAAGCCGAAGGAGAGATTCCCGAGGACCATGATAGTTTTAGTGATAGCAACAGCACTAACTGTAGTAGTCATAGAGAGGCATGAATAGTAATATAACGTTGCTGCTAGCAGCACTCGCAAGAAGAACAAGGAAGAACAGAGGGCGGAAAGAATAACAACAATAAGAATAAGAATAAGAATAAGAATAAGAATAAGAATAAGAATAAGAAGAAGAAGAAGAAGAAGAATAAGAAGAATAAGAATAAGAAGAAGAATCAGAATAAGAATCAGAATAAGAATAAGAATAAGAATAAGAATAATCCGAAGAGTAATAGTAAGAATGGCGAGCCCAGGTTCATCCCGCAGCCCGGCATGGATTCCGAGAGTGCTAAGCCCAAGTCGCTGGGCGCAGGTCGGGGCCGAGGCAGATAGCGCCAATAGCGGGGTGAAGGGGGGCTGCTCGAGGGAGCACACCGCCCAAGTACTGCATGTCACGGAAGGTTGGCGGGGTGCAGTGGCTGTGTCTGCGTGCGAGGTGCGTGCGACGGATCCGGCA